GGGTGTCCGTCCAGACGTACGGACACTAGCCATGACGTTCTGAAGTTCCTTGCGAGATATTTCTTTCTGTTTCGTAGGAGACAGTTGCGGCAGAGCAAAGGTTTAATTCAAAGGAGGCAGAGGAAGAGGCAAAGACGGCGGCACCTGCCGAAATGTTTACTGCTGGCCTGTCTGATGTTCGGACATCACAATGGAGGCACAAGATCCTAAAGTAGTTGCTCCAACTCCTTAACAAATTACAGCTATCAAGGTACATGCATTTTCACGTAATATTATGAAGACAGCATGTTCATGTTCCCACAAGTTCAACCAGAATCCTGTTAGTTTAGTTTTGAATTGAATATAATTTGGTTCCAATCCTTTTCCTACCTTGCACGGTATTCTTTTTGTGTTCCCATTGTATGTTTTAACCAATAGCCCTGCTTGTTTTATTTGTTGATAATTGTTGTATATTTGTAGGCTACTATTGTGAATGCTAACACTCTTGAGGAAGCTGCAAGGCTAGAGCAGGTAATGTCCTATGACTTTGTTCTCATGCTTTTTGTAGCTTTGGCTACTAACCATGTACTAATATCTTCTTTGTGGATCATCGTGCTCAGGTATTAAAGCACTGGTCAAGTTCCTGCTGAATTTGCAGTGCCCAAGCCTGATGCAAACATGGCTGAAGCTTCAGAGGGAGCTGAGGTCAGAACCAAGAGGGTGAGGCTGATGGGCAGAAATAAGACGACGAAAGGCCCCCAACAAGAAGAGGTATGTAATGATATTCTTTGTGATATTCTATTAGATGCACTGTGTACTTCTATGTCAATTTCTAGAGTACGTGCATGTAATGCTATCAATTCATGCCTACCAGTCGATGATGCTAAAGAGCGCAAGAGATAGGGATAGAGCACGATGGCATGCAATGTCTCAGGTAAAAAGGAACGAAAAATAAGAGATGTCGTGAAGCATATATGATAAAGCAGAAGCAGCAACCAACTATCAAAAATATAAATGGTATCGTCTAACACATTGTCCGTTTCGATCAGGTCCCTTCTTTCTACAGCTTCATGGAATGTCTGTAGGATTACACCATCAACGGGCCTTAGATCTTCGAAGGAGGTTGCACCGGCCACGTGGTCTAGAAGAACCCTAAGATAATAATGCTCCCCCAGAAATGGTACCTATCACTGCATGCTAAACCCACCAGTTAGTAGTGATATATCACTGTCGGTTATTTAAGGTACAAGCCAGCAGTGATATGTACCAATCATTGTCGACTTATATTACGACCGGGCAGTGAATTGCACGGGCCACGTGGTCCAGAAGAACCCTAAGATAGTAATGCTCCCCCTCGGCTGGATTGGCAGAAATGGTTCTTCCAATTTGTTTAAGAGATTTATCTCGTACCCTCCTCTACCATTTTTTTTGCACTGTGTGTGCCACGTATAGAACTCGGGAAAGCATGGGTACAAGATACATCGGGCTCTTTCATCTGTCATTCATCTCGAACTATGCTGTAAGTATCAACCTTTCAACACCCAGACACGATTAAGCACTCGTTGAACCCCCTCGCAGCGGTGAAATGACACCATGTGCATGTCTAGAAGATGGAGCTATAAAGACAACACAGAAGGGAACCTCTCGCTCAAATCAAAACCGTATATCCTCCATAAGGCTTCTAGCGGGGTTACCTATCTAGCATCCCTGTACTGTTTGATCTCATCGACGTTCCCTTCATTGTCATCCTTGTCAGCCTGTCTCACAGCCACATATATCCTATCATGACCCTTGTAAATGTACTTAAATAGATACTTGACTGCTTTGATGCTCCCACATGCCTCAACCTTGATATGGCAGTTGAAATTATTTAAAAAATTCCAAAAATATAAAGGTATCGCCAATTGAAATTATGGTATTTAATTTTCACCAAACTAATTGGTGGGATTTCTCTTACTACTATTTAAATTGTAATTTATTTTATATAAATTTAATCTCCAGCAGTCCAGCTGAGCTCATATGAAAAGTCGTGATTTTTTTAGTGAAACAAATACCACCTAAACGACATGTAGGTGAATTTTCCCAATCGAATTAGTGAAATTGAAGTTTGTCCAGATTCAACAGGCTGTAGGTGAAATTTCCCCATCGAATTAATGAGGTTGAAGTCTGTCCATTTCAGCTGGTCAAAGTCGTATATTTATTGAAATTTAGGTAGTAGGTGAAATTTCCCAATCGAATTGACGAAATTGAAACCTGTCCATTTCAGTTAGTGATAGGTGTACATTTATGCAAATTTTTTCTGGTTAATTATCTTTTGCAAAAAGCAGATTAAAAATATAAAAATAAAATTCCTAACATGGATCAGGCTATAACCCATATTTGGCCTTGTCTTTTAGTATATTTGGTCAAGATTCAGATTCTACCATAAACATTCTGGATCTAGATTCAGAATCGCTTGCTTAATTTATTTGGCTACCGATCAAGATTTTTTCTGAAATAAATCAGAATAGGCATGAAACACCATTTTGGGTGATCATCTCTCCTAGTGTCAAAATGAGAAGTGTGTCAACGTGATTCAGAATGAAACAGACCCTTGGTCTAAGGGTCGTTTAGTCCATCTAATAAACACTTAAAATGGTAAACAATGGTCACCTGTGTAGTTTAGGTTTAGTCAATCAATAAGAGAATTATAACTACCGCAGTAACATTCAGCTAATTAACATCGTAATAAATATATAGAGTGGAGTGAGATTTAGTTTTCTTCTAAAAATTATTTGATAGAATACTTATTTTTACACGTGTAAGCGCAATTACTACGTCAGAACACGCAATCACTGTCGGACCATCAGTGCCGAGTGTGCTGGAGTCAGCAGTGACTGCTAAGCACTGCCGAGTGGTATGGCGAAGATCCAGAAAATTTACGGAAATAAGCTAATCACCTGGTAGCGATGGTACCTATCACTGCATGCTAAACCCACCAGTTAGTAGTGATATATCACTGTCGGTAATTCAAGGTACAAGCCAGCAGTGATATGTACCAATCATTGTCGACTTATATTACGACCGGGTAGTGAATTGCACCGGCCACGTGGTCCAGAAGAACCCTAAGATAGTAACGCTCCCCCTTGGCTGGATTGGTAGAAATGGTTCTTCCAATTTGTTTAAGAGATTTATCTCGTACCCTCCTCTACCATTTTTTTGCACTGTGTGTGCCACGTATCGAACTCGGGAAACTTTGCCAAGTACCCAGATCTAGGACACTCGGTAAAGAAATAAAATATTTTTTCTGGGAAAGAAGGAGAAGAAAAAAAATGAAAAAAACTTTGCTGAGTGCCCAGATCTGGACACTCGGCAAAGGAAAAAATCATATTTAATTCAACGGCGCGCGCCCCTACCCTCCCCCTTCTTCTTCTCCCGCGGCCGCCCCCTCCCTCCCTCCCCTCCTCCGTTTCCGTCTCCGGCGCGCCCCTCCCTTCCCTCTCTCGGCATGCCCCCCTTCCTCCCTCCCCTCCTCCTCCTCCCTCCTGCCTTGCCCCCCCTCCCCTTCTTCTTCTCCCGGCCGTCCCTCCCTCCCTCCCTCCCTCCTCCTCTCCCTCTCCCAGCCTGTGGCCGCCTCCCCCCCTCCCTTTCCCGACGGTGGCGCCCTCCCCCCTTCCTCTCTCGGCATGGCGGTGCTCCCCCAACCTCTCCCTGCGTGGCAGCGCACCTCCCTCCCTCCTCCACCGCCTCCACCAGATCCGGCCCCGGCGCGGGCGGATCCGGCGACGGTGGAGCACGGGGAGGCCGTATCCGGCAACGGTGCGGGTGGACGGATCTGGCGCGTGGCCCTCCTTTTCCCGGCGGTGGCGCCCTCCCCCCTTCCTCTCTCGGCAAGGCGGCGCTCCCCTGCCTCTCCCTGTGCGGCGGCGCACCTCCCTTCCTCCTCCACCGCCTCCACCAGACCCGGCCCCGACGCGGGCGGACGGATCTAGCGCGCGGCGCTCCTCTCCCGGCGCGGCGGCGCCCTCCCCCATCCCTCGTCCGGCACGGCGACGCCCTGCCCCCTCCCTCTCCTGGTGCGGCGGCGCCCTGCCCTCTCCCTCTCCCAGCGCGGCGGTGCCCTCCCCCTCCCTTTCCTGGCGGTGGCGCCCTCCCCCCTTCCTCTCTCGGCATGGCGGCGCTCCCCCTGCCTCTCCCTTTCCCGGCGGCGCTCCTCCACCGCCTCCACCAGATCCGGCTCCGGCGCGGGTAGATGCGGCGACAGTGGCGCACGGGGAGGCCGGATCCGGCCCCGGAGTGGTGGTGGCCTGGGCGTGGTGGCGGCGTGGCGAGGAGAAGATCCTGGCTTGTTTTTTTTTCTGAAAAATTGTTTGCCGAGTGTTTTTTGGGCACTTGGCAATGTCTTTGCTGAGTGCGCGACAAAAAACACTCGGCAAACAAGTGTTTGCCGTCAAAACGTTTACCGAGTGTCGTTTGCCAAGTGTAACACTCGGCAAACCCTTTGCCGAGTGTTTTTGGGGCTTCGCCGAGTGCCCCTGGCACTCGACAAAGATCCTATATCCGGTAGTGCTGGTAGTATATTTTATTCAGCAAGAACAAGAGAAACATAAAAAGTTACTAGGTAGCTCTTTATAATGAGTTAAGCTTACATGTTTTCCAATAATTTATATGTCTATGCTTCACAATCAGGCTACATTGAACTAAAATTCGTCTTCTCATGGAAAGGAAAGTGTTCAACCGTGAACACATAACTAGGTATCCTATAGCGGGAAGACAACTACCGGAAGCGACATTCGAACTTTTGTCGATCCAAAATAAAAGATTTAGAGACTCTTAAAAATCCTGTATTTTTTTTTTGTACAAATGCCCAAAAATCAATTACGACCCATTTTGTTTGTTTTTACATAGTATCACAGTTTTTCTGGTTTAAAAAAACTAATTGAAATTCTATGTTTCTGTAATTCCTAAAAGAAGAATGTATTAAAAAATTCATGCCAGCATATCATGAGGATATATAAAGTACCGTAGGCACGATCAGCTCAATGCAAAGCAACTCACACTACAGCCACACTGTTGCATGCAAGTTTGTCCGAGCAAGTAGCATGGCCCAAAACCAATCCACACCAGCTCTCACAACGACGGCGACCACCCCCGGCGCAGAGCTCCTGCAAGCCCAGGCAGAGCTTTGGTGCCACATGTTCGGCTACCTCAAACCCATGGCGCTGCAGTGCGCCATCAAGCTCGGAATCCCCAACATCATCAGCCGCCATGGCGGCGCCGCCTCTCTTTCGGAGCTATGTGCTGCTCTTCCCGTTGCCCCAAGCAAACGGACGTGCTTGTCTCGCCTCATGAGGTTGCTGGCCACGTTGGGAATATTGAGAGAGGAAAAGGAGACGTCACCGGGTGGGGAAGCGGAAGGCTCCTACTTGTACCACCTCACCGCGGTTTCTCGCCTCCTCGTCGACGATGACGACGGTGGCCATCCATGCTTATCTGCGTTCATGGCCAATATTGCCGCGCCGTTCCATGTCGTAGCATCTCTATGCCTAGCTGAGTGGTTCGAGAACGACGGCGGCGCGGCGGCGGCGGAGACTCCGTTCATGATGGCGCACGGTACCAGCTTCTGGGGCGTGGTCTGCCGCGACGCGCAGTTCGCCGCGGATTTCTACGCGTCGATGCGGGCTGACAGCAGATTCGTGGCACAGATCATCGTTAGCCAGTGCAGGGAGGTGTTCGCCGACGTAAATTCTCTGGTGGACGTGGGGGGCGGGGACGGGACGATGGCGAAGGCCATTGCCAAGGCATTCCCGCATGTGCGTTGCTCGGTGTTGGACCTTCCCCAGGTCGTGGGTGGCAATGGCATGCCGGGAGAAGGAGAAGAAGGCACGGTTGAGTTCATCGAAGGTGACATGATGGTTTTCATCCCTCCAGCTGATGCTGTTTTACTCAAGGTATGGGTAGTAATTAATGGTTGATGATGCAAATAAATGTATATTGCACAAGAGTACTTAGGAGTATTTAATTAGGACTGTTTTATTTGTATATACTAATATAGTAAGGTTTTTGCCTTTTGCCACATATTTTGCTATTGGTTAGTTTGTCAAAATCGTTGCCATACTTTAGCAAGAAAAAGAGAATCTCACCAAAATTTATACTTTATGAGTGAGAGAATCTTGACACACTTTTATGAGTAAAAGATAAGTACATACTCCCTCTGTTTCAAAATACATGACCTCGTCTAGATTCATAGCTGATCCCTTCATTCTTCTCAAAATACATGAACTTGTCCAGATTCATAGCTAAATAAAGGGTCATCTATTTTGGGACAGGGGGAGTAAAACCTAATTTAATTTACTACAAATGGAATATTATGCCTAAAGGCTTATCGGAGAGACACTCCATTAAATATGTTACTCCCTCAGTTTTGAAATCTCCCACAACTAAAAAGACTAAAGAGAAGACAACGTTTTGGTGCGACAAAAACTTCGCCTCACCTTCCTACCGCCCGTGCGATCCTGCGAGGGGAAGCCGCTATACGTCGCGCCGCCACATGGGCCCTCGTACCAACGGCGTTGCTCGCGGATCCTCCCAGAAGGCGGCGTGGCACCACGTTGATCGCGGCAAAAAATTGGGGTCGTCGGTCTGCCGCCTGCTGCGATACCGCGTCCCCACGCGCTCGCTCCCACATCCTCCCTGCGCGCTCTATGCAACCTCCTCTCCGCGTGCTCGCTCCCACATCCTCCAATCACGTTCGCGAGATCACGTCCACCAATCACACCCAGCTCGCCCTTCGCTGCCCCGCGCTCGTGTCCGTGGCTCGCCCTTCCCTGCCGCCCGCAAAACCGCCCTTCCCTGCCCCGCGAGGCCACCTTCCCGGCAGCATAGGCGGCGCGACGTCCCGGTGCTGGAGGCGGCGAGGCATCCCGGAGGCAGAGGCGGTGTAGGCGTCCGTGCGTGGCATCCCGGCGGCGTAGGCGGTCCGTGCGCGGCCTCCAACCAGCCAACCAGGGGCGGCGGTCAGCCAGCCAACTCGCAGCGGCCATTCGGGGCGGTGCCCGGCCAGGCTAACCATCCCACGGCGACGCGGGGCTGACGCGGCCGCCGCGCCTCCAGGGTGCGGCCCCTCCCGTGCGAAGCCGACAGGTATGCCTACCCCTTCCCTGCTCTCCCTTCTGTGCAAAGCCGAGGACCCAGATCTGATGCGGACATGTGCACACCCAGACGTTAATTTGCTTTGTGCTGTTAACTTCACACCATGCAACTTGCAAAACTTGATGTTGTTTTCGGATACAGTCCAAGCTTATTTGTTCATTTTAGAGACTCTGGTTTCCGACAGACCACCTTGATGAAACCTATGTGCAGTACTACAGTTAAGTTTGCCATGCTATGGTCTCTACTGAATAGTAAGTAAGTCAAGTAGCCTAATGATGCAGGGAACAATCTCTGTATTTTCTATTGACGAGGGGGTGTTTTGTTTTTCTCATTTGCAAATTCGTGACTTTACTCTTGCTGAGCTGAAAGAATTCTATATTTTGTCCCTTGGTACTGTAGTGCTATCAAAGTTGCAGGATAGTGGGCATCTTCATGTTTGCATTTTTCAGAGTACCAATTTAGCTTCCCCACACAGTTAGCATACTCGTACCTTGCAAACACCAACCATTTATTTAACATATCTCCTGTATATGTTTAATCTCATGGGCTTTTATTTGTCCTATCAGCAGTTCAGTCAGCCTGCTGATGACTCTGTATTTCTCAAAAGAAAAAGAAATCTCTTTACTTGAATGACTGTCTCTATTTCTCAAAGAAATCAGGAGATCTAAATTCACTTCAACCTGAAGCTATATTCATGCAGAGTTACTTTGTTGCTTGTCTGACTGCATCAACCTGAAACTGAGAACTCAAGTTACTTTGGTGAGTTTCTGGTAAATAGATCTACACCCTGATTTTCACAAGGTTTTTTATACTGGTCAATTTATTTGCTGAGTGAGCAAACTGTGATACTACAACCTGTTCAAGAGCTTCTATTCTTTGTAGCCAATTCAAAATCAAGACTGTTTAGATGCTAATAAGAGCACGAACATGGGTAAAATAAATTCAGTGTATCCTACCGTTCCTAAACTTGTAGGAACAATTGAAGGACCTTCTGTTTTTTATTCATGAGACATCTGTGTTTTTCAAATTTCACTACCTTTAATCAATTTCAAATGTTTAGTGAGTTCAAATTGACAGACCTATGCTCTTGATTTGGAGACATGCTTTGTTGTTTTGTCGAACCAACCTTTTCAGACATTGAATCCTATTGTTCCAGCATAGCTGACATAATTCATATGCCTGAACCAGGTGATGCCCAGTAGTTATTCTGAGCACTCTTGTTTATACATTGAATGCTTGCATGCTGTGATGTTTGACAACTATCAAACGATTTCAGTAGATAAGGTTTTGGCTATGCATTTGTTCCTCTTGAGGAATCGATGTTTGTTTCCTTGATGACAGTAGAAACGCAAAAATAATAACAAGGTGTTGAGTATGTCAGGTTCTTGCTGTTCTGCATGGCCATCTCAATAATTTAAAGTCATGATAAGAAAATTTCCCCTTGAAGCATCAAAATTTCTCCAAGTCTAACAACATTGTTTCTCTACATGGGTTTTATAGACTAATTCAATAATACCAGTCACAATATTAGCTTAAATGTATGGTTTTAAAATAGACATTTGTTTACATATATCATTTTAATCCCTTCACTAATTTACTAATGCAATACTATGTGATAATGATTCGCACAAACAAGTTGTATATTATTCTTTTATGAATTGTATATCAGTCTTCATGGTTGGGTGACGGGCTACGCGCAGGTGGGCTCCAACCTCGCGTCGCTTGACCCCGCCGCTGTCTGCAGCCATGTCCGCCTCCGCAGCCTGCGCCCGGCCACACGCTACTACATCACGTCTTCGTTGGCCATCTCTTCTCCCTTCCTGCTGTGTACGGATTTTTTTATTTCCAAGCAGGTATGCCAACTCTTGTCCTTTCCTGCTGTATACGGATTTTGATTGGTTGTCCAATTCCAATCTGCTCCCTATCATCACAGTCCACTAATGTCGAACTCTTAAGTAGACCATTTGTGGTTGTAGGAATCTCTTAAGCAAGAACTTAAAAAATCCATGGAAAAGTAGAAAACAGTAATGTATGGTTGTCACTTAGTATGGAAAAGAGGCTTTCACACTTGCATTCCTGTGGCTATCTCTCTTGGCTGGCTCTGCTCATCTTGCATTCCTGTGGTTGACATGGTCAAACCTGAGTTTCCTATTCCATGTAGAGACTAAAGAAGAAAGCCACTGGATCACTGTGTTTTGATCGTTGATGTCCTATGAAGGAAGAGTTACCAATTTCTTTTTTCAGGTGAACATCACAGCAACAGAGAAAGCTGAGTTCAGGACCTCAGTCCAGGCAAGCACATCGGCACCAGTATTGCATCAGGTGAACATGTAAGTACCTAATCAGCTAGCCTGTATCTTTGTTCAGTTGCAGCAAATAGCTCAGTACTGGTTCTCCCTTGGTGTCAATTCATCACCTAGATAAAGGTGTGAGTCCCTTGGTGTCAGTACCTATGAGTTTATTCATCCATAGTTGTAGCAGTAATAGTTCTTGATGAGTTGGATCTTATCTCTAAAGAATATAAGAGATGTGTGTAGTTGCAGCATCACTTATTGCTGTGATGTACAAGGAAGGTCAGCTGTTGGCTTGTGTGAATTTATATCTTAGCAGTAATAGTTGCTGAGTTGTCGTGTGACCTGAAAAATACCGGCCAGGGATTTTCACTCCGGTTGGTTCAAACCTAAAAAATGTTTTACTCAGGATCAAACATCACTGCAGACCTTAGAAGTTCAGTGTGTCAGTGACATTGATATGGTGTAAGCAACTAGCCAGAGACTGATGATGTCTTCTGTTTTCTATTATTATGTTTTATGTCTTTAATAGATAAAGGGAGGACGCAATTAGTTACTGCAATTTTGGAACCGAGTCTTGTGGTCTGACATGAATATTTCTCTCCCAAATTATTCAAATATATAATGAGAGTTTGTCCAATTCTTTCAATATAATGGAATGTTTCTCGGCCCCAACGCTGTTATAGTTACATTCGAACTGTCCAGATGCTAAATCAACTTATATCTATGCACGTATTCATAGAACCTGTAAATTTTCATTTTTTGTTCCTTATTTCTTACTCGCTCACTCACTAAGCATAGATATCATTGGAAACAACTTTGCCCGTTCTGAAAAACCCAGGAGTTGAAGTCTAAGTAAATGATCTAAAAAAAGCATCATTAAAATTAAATAAATCACTGAATCTGGAAGGGATCAAATCACTGAATCACAGAATAGCCTGTACCATCATGCGTACTGCTGTTGCATTTGTGTGGATTCACATGCACGTTTTCGTTGTTCCTTGAGGTTGTGAAAGTCCTAATGTGTAAGCCTTTTCAATAATGCCATTGTAATTCGAGGTTGACTGTGACATGGTTTCGAGTTTGACTGTGTTATTTTTAGGGCGCTTCATTCACTCATGATGTAAGTTAGACCCAAATTCTGTGACATGTCCATTTGTTGATGTAGTGAAAGTTAAAATATGGGGAAAAAGATATGGTCTCATGATGTAAGTTAGTCCATCCTAGGAGTTGTTGGTTTCTGTTTACTGGGTTGCAATATCTATGTTGGTTGCAATAAGAGGTTAATATTAGCATGCTGTCTCATCATTTTTTTTTAAAAATGTTCATATGTACTGATGGAGACTTGAAAATATCAGGTGCAGGCTATATTAGTTTGTTCGAATTTTTATTTTTCCCTTGCTATGAAGCAATGCACAAGCCACTGACTTTTTGGGTTTCCGAACATATTTCCTGGCTTTGTTTTGCATGATTTGTATTGCTTTGTTTTGTTCATTCTCTGATTGGTA